TGTTGACCTGTTGTCTGGTAGGTATTTAAGTTACTTATAGATCAGCTTGAGCATTTCAAGGCTTGGTAGTGTGGGCTTACAGTAGCCTTGATTCTAGGTCTAGTTTAGCTCCACTGCCATGGAGTAACCCTCTGAGTCTTTACTCTCAGTGTCCTGGGTGTTCAGTGAGGACTTTCCACTTTGGCTGGTTAGAACTAAAAACTATCCTGTGCCAGTCTTGGAGCTATTCAGCTTGCTTGCTTTCTTCCCTCACCTCGTGGAGTTTCATTCTATGTATGTGAAACCTAGAATTCAGCAAAAGCCCCAAGGAGACTCTTCTGCAAGACCTCCAGCTTTCTCTCTGCAGCTCCCTCCACCCTGTTCTCTGCCCCTTCAGTTTGCTGCAGGCTTCCCCATCTCCCGAGCTCCAACCTCTCTCTCTGTCCCCAACTCGACAAGGTTGCCAGGCTCTGCTTGGGATGCACTTCCTGCATTGTGGACTGGAATTTGTCTCCAGGCAGAAAGCAGAGGCAATCATAAGCCTCACTTTGACTGTCTTATTTCCCCCCCAGGGGTTAGAGGATTGTACAAGGTCCAGAAATAAATAGTCGCCTCCTATATTTTGTCCAGTTTTCTTGTTATGGCTCCAAAGGGCAAATACTGTTCCAGCTACTGCAAGATGGCTGGAAGTAAAACATCTTATCCAGCTTGATTTTGGTTCCACTTCCAGAAGTTTCTCTTCCTTGGAGGAGCTTGACCTAAAAGGGAGGCTTGGCTGGTCAGTTTTAAGAGTTCACAGGGACAGACTGTTCTAGCTCTTTCTATTCTTACCAGAGTCTCTTTGCATTCACTTGCTGTTGGATTGGAGAAACCCCCTCCTAGTTTCACCTACTGTTCTAAAGTTATTGAGCCATGCTTTCCAATGAATATCTCTTAGCTATTTTGGGATTCTGTTTTTCCCAGGTACCTCTTCCACCCTGTTGCTCAGCTTCCCCTTGTACAGATACTAGTCCATGAATCTTTTATTGCTGTTGATAGTTTGTAGTTGTCTCCATTTGCTTGTATTTTGGTATTTTGGGGGAAACCTTGTTACCTAGTTTTATTGTAAATGTACATGGATTTTCTGTTTTTTTTTTTCTTCCGTGTAGTTGCTCTGTGAGAATTTTGGAAGATTCAAAAGCTATGCAGCCACCAATCTAGCCCCCCATCTTCTCGGAATCTGGTAGAAGTTTTAAGAGCTTGGATGTAATTTACCAGGCTCTCTTTCCCCTATCTCTGCAGTAAAGAAGCACATATCAAAATGTTGCCTCCATTAGCCTGTGTCCCTAAGTTATTATAATGAGTACAGCTTGCTTGGTGACCCCCCCAGTGGACACGCAGTGTGAGTGAGAATAAATTTTGTTGTTTTGAGCCACTGGGGTTTGGGGATTTTTCATTAGCACAGCATAACCTAATCTGTTTTGAGAGTTATAGACAGTTACCTTTCCATCCAAGACAATTAATTTAGTTGACCTCAAGGTAACCACCATTAAGTTAAGAGAGAGGGTGGGAAGAAGAACTATGGGGGCAAAAGGAAGAAAAGAAAACAGTTTGAAATGTCTGGGAAATAACTTTTGATGTTGACAGCACATGGGACAGATTGGAAATAAATGGGTAAGTTTTGGGGGAATTGTATTGCCAAAAAAGCCATGCACCCATCCTATTAATGGTACCCCCTGAAATTGTTTAATGCATTGCTGCACCTAAATTACCCACTAATATATACTAATGTATATCGCCCTGTATTTCTCATAATTACCCACTGTGGCATATCTCTAACCAAGGGCCTTTCAGGAGCTGAGAGAGGCTGGGGCCACTTCTGTGTATTTAAGTGAAGAGGTCTCCAAATAAAATTACAAAAACTGTGGTTACTTTAAGAGTTTACCGAACTTCCCTGGTGGCACAATGGTTAAGAATCCACCTGCCAATGCAGGGGACACGGGTTCAATCCCTGGTCCGGGAAGATCCCACATGCTGTGGAGCAACTAAGCCCGTGTGCCACAATTACTGAGCCTGCGCCCCAGAGCCCGTAAGCCACAACTACTGAGCCTGCATGGCGCAACTGCTGAAGCCCGCGCGCCCAGAGCCTGTGCTCTGCAACAAGAGAAGCCACCGCAATGAGAAGCCCGTGCACCGCATTGCAGAGTAGCCCCCACTCGCAGCAACTAGAGAAAGCCCGTGCACAACAACAAAGACCCAATGTAACCAAAAATAAATTTAAAAAAACGAACAAAAAAACCCCCAACCCATCCAGCATCAAGCCAGTTCTCTTCCATATATACTATCACCACCCAGCATCTCACATGTGGACCACTGCAACAGCAGTGAACTGAAAGAGATCGTGACTTGTCACCTGCTTTCATTCTCTCCCGGCTAAAATACATCTTCTACATAGCAACTGAAATTATCTTTCAAAATGGAACTCACGGGTTTCCCTGGTAGCGCAGTGGTTGAGAGTCCGCCTGCCGATGCAGGGGACATGGGTTCGTGCCCCGGTCCGGGAAGATCCCACATGCCGCGGAGCGGCTAGGCCCGTGAGCCATGGCCGCTGAGCCTGCGCGTCCGGAGCCTGTGCTCCGCGACGGGAGAGGCCACAACAGTGAGAGGCCTGCGTACCGCAAAAAAAGAAAAAAAAAGGAACTCACTTTACATTTCGCCCCTTCTTCAAAATCCTCCCGTGGCTTCCTGAAGCCCATGGATGTGTTTTTGAAACCAACTTGCTGATGGACTGAATATGGGAGGAATCAAGAATGACATAAAATTTCAGTTTGAGCAATTGGCTGGTTATGCCATTGATTCAGACAGGGACAACTGGAGGAGTAGCTTTATGGGGTAAATGAGGAACTCTGCCTTAGCTAGGGCAATTTCGAGATACCTGATAGGCTGCCCAATAGAGATGTCAAGTAGGGAGTTGGTTACACAAATGTGGAGTTCCCAGAGATGTCAGGGTGGGAGACACAGATGTGTTGGCAAGTTGGACCACCCTGAGCCTTTATTGTGATACTCGACTTGATGTGAAGTAGAAGAGAAGAACCAGCCAATCTAATTGTTGGCACACAGATTATAGTCGCTACCTTCCAGTAGGAAGGAAGCAGTGACTTATCTTCCCTAGAAAAGACATAGTTGCTTTCCTTGCCATCATGCGTCTATCAGTATAGCCTCCTGTGGTCTATCAGTGACTCCAAAGTGTGGTCCCTGAGGTGTTCCTGGTGCTGTGGAAACTGGGGGTGGTGGACCCTCGTTTCAACTTCAATCAAGGCAATAAACGTTCTACAAGGTGGAGTTTTACATAAGATTTCGTTTGAATAGATTCCTGATATTTAAAATAATGCAAAGCGTGGAAGGAATCTAGCCTCCTCACATTTCCCCCCTTATTTATTTAGCCTCCTCACTTTTTTTAAAATACTTTTTTATTTAGCTGTGCTGGGTCTTAGTTGTGGCATGTGGGATCTTTAGTTGTGGCGTGCAGGATCTTTTTAGTTGCGGCATGTGAACTCTTAGTTACGGCATATGGGCTCTAGTTCGGTGGCCAGGGATTGAACCTGGGTCCCCCTGCATTGGGAGCGCGGCATCTTAGCCACTGGACCACCAGGGACGTCCCCTCCTCACTTTCTGTAGAAGGAAACAGGCTCAGAAGTGAAACAACTCAGACTTCCAGGCACCACCTCCTGCCTGGCCGCTCTTGCTCTGCTCCGAGAGGCTGTGGCAAATCAGGAGAGGCGGGAGGACAATTTCTGTATCCGAGGGTTCTGCGCCTCATCCCCGAGCTGTGAGGGGGCTTTCCCTCTTGAGCTGGAAGCCTCAGCATGCCCCCTCCCAAGCTCTGATTGTGGTAAGGACGGAGGACTCTGAGACAGAGAACAACAGGCCCCCAAGGAGGAAGCTGGGGAGTGAAGAGGATAGCCGAGACATTCGCTAGACAAGTTCAACTGCGGGGACCAAAGGCAACTGAGAAGTTTTGAAGGTGCAGAGTGCAGGGGTGGGGAGGGCAGGTGGGTGGCAGTGCTTAGAACATTTGGGGTAAGGGTAAAGAAGCAAGTTGCTAGAGGCCTTTTTCCACCTGCTGCTGCTCTGCGGGGCGGGGCTCGCACCCTCTCTCACTTGGATGGGTCCAATTCCAAGATCCCCAGCTGTGCCTTTGTGTGTGTGTGGGGGGGCGGGGTGTTGGGTTGCAGACGTGGGGGACCACTTGTCATTTCAGAGAAATCAGACTTTTTTCTGCCGAGTAGCTCACCCATCAATAAAGATACGACTCCTGTGGTTCACTGTGACCCCCATCTCAGGTAGGGAAACGGTGGCGCAGAGGGGAATTCAGGCCAGAGTCCGGGGGCGGCCCAGCACTCAGGGGTCGCACGGCAGGCTGCGTTCGGGACCTTGGGCTCCATCCAGCGCTCGAAGCAAGAATCCCGGTGCCGCGGCCCCGGGGTCCCTGGGTCCCGGAGTCCCGGGCCCAAACCGCGATCTCTGCCAGCTCGCCCTGCCTCGCCCTCCAGTCCTGCGGTTTGCACGCGCCTCGGGAACGGCGCGGGCGTGGGGCGGGGCCTCCATGTTGTTGTTTCTCTGGGGCCCCGCCCCTGAGGGGGGCGCGGACCACGCGGCCGGAGGGGGGCCCCCCCCCCCCCCCCCCCCCCCCCCCCCCCCCCCCCCCCCCCCTCC